TGTCTCCTCTGGAAAATCAGGAAAAAAAGGAGGTTTTGCGATGCGGAGCGCTGCTGCGGTCGGCTCAGCGCCGTGGGTGCTGCTCCCTGAGCTCGCCCGGTAAATCCTGCTCTGCCCGAGGCATGGCCGATGCTTAATTTCACCCTTTTGCCTTTCTTCTTTCGGATTCCTGGTATAATTACCCTGGGAAACCCGCTGGCACGTGGAGTTATGAAGGCAGAGGGTTTGGTAAACTTCCAAAAACAAATGACATCTGCGGTGACAGCACCTTGGGGCGGGGGGGGGAAGAAACATCCCGAGGACCATCAATCTTCATGCTTCAGGGCACAGGCTGAGCACCAGCTGGGGTCAGGAATAAATGTCCCCATATATAGAGTTTTGCACAATTAGGTGCTTTATGAAGGCTTTACACCATCCTCGGGAGCATCCAGCCTTCGCCCCGTGTCGCGGGCGGGCTCCTGGACTGCTGGGCTGCTCCCGTCTGGCGGCTCCTCCGTCCCAGCTCCGCCGCAGCTTCGACGCTCAATCCTCATTTAAGTGTCTGAAATCCCCAAGAAACGTTAGGAAGCCTGGCATGGTGGGAACCCACAGCTCCACCACCCCACCCAGGCTTGAAGGGCCACCTCAGAGCTCCCCGTCCGGAAGGGTGTGCGTGGGCGATGCGGCTCCCGCGTCCTGCTCTGCCCTCGGTTTCGGCTGGCTTGGGACCTTTTGGCGAAACGAGCTGGTTTTGACCTTCTTTGGTGCCCGCACCCTTTGGGAAGGGTGAACCCAGACAGCCCTGGGGCTGGTTTGGGCTGCGGAGACTTCTCTGGGTAAAATTCTCTGAGGGTGCTGCCCGGCGGCGAGTGCCCCCGGTGGGAGCTTGGGGAGGGGGCTGTAGCATAGGGTGCTCGGGGACCCCCCGAGGCCGATTCTTGGCCTTCTGGGGAGTCCCTGGAGCAGGAGGTCGAGGGTGTCTGGCTGCACCAGCCCAGCTTTGCCAGCACAGGGGCTGCCAGCCGCGGTACCAGCTCCGCCCCGCCGCGGCG